AGAGGACTTTTGGAAGTCAAGCCATGATAAATGCTTTAGGTTGAATATCATTTTCATAAGATTTTATTTTAGCCTGAATGGGTCTGTCAATTTCAATTGAAAATTATTTAGTCAGACATCGCTAGTTTCAATTCTATTTTATCCTGAATAAAAGGGACAAGAGACCTAACCCTGGACTAGTTCTCGGTTCCACAAGTGTGTAACGAAGATTTATTAATGAAATTGGTTGTCCCCTAGATTTGGTTGCGAGTGGTTAAGCTTGGACAGAATCATGAAAATATTCAAAAAGAGAAAATTTCATTTTCACATGACACACAGAGAATTTGCAAACACAAAATACAATGCAATTGCAGGTGAAAGCTGCCTATTTGGTTCAACAGAAGAACTATACCATGATTTTTGCATGGCAAATAAACTAATAAGAGAGGAAATAGAATTCAACAAAAACGTAACTAAATTTGTATTTATTAATTTAAAAGTTTTAATTTACAACCAAAGACAAGGTTTAAACATCTGAAACTGCAGAAAACTTACTTTTAATTAAAAAAAAAAAAAAAGAAGAAAAAAGAAGAGAGAGAGAGAGAACAAAAGAAGTAACACCGACTAGTGTTGAACTAAACATGACGACCAATGAAATTCTGTCTCGCTGTTTTAGTTTGGATGGAACAAAATGTCATGGAGTAGTTGCTCTGCATCTTGCAAAAGGAGCTGTTCGGCAACGCATCGATCGCGGTTTGTCTTCAAAAATTCTAGCTCATTTCCCTTCGCTTCAACGGCAGCTTCCATTTCCAACCATTCGTCTCTCATGCGGCTAGTTTCTGCCCTCTTCTCCACCACCACCGCCTCCAATAGGAGAATAAGAGTCTCCTCCATCTGTAGACCCATCTCCGACTCCATCCCATGAAGGGTCTCCTGCTCCGCCTCAACCCCGTGGACGGCCCGGGTCTCCTCCATCTGAAGTAGTCCCACCTCCGCCTCCATAGGATGAAGCGTCTGCTCCGCCTCCATACCGTGGATGGCCAGCGTCTCCTCCATCTGTACACCCATCTCTGATTCAATCCGATGAGGGCTCTCCTTCATTAGCCCTTGCTCTGCCTCAATCAGGTGGAGGACCAGGGAACCCTCCACCTCGAGACCCTTCTTCTCCTCCATCCGATGCAGGGCCTCTTCCTTCTTCTGGCCTTGCACCGGTTGGACGGTGTCAAGGGCCTCTTCCTTCTTCTGGCCCTCCCCCGGTTGCTCCTGGTGAAGGGCCTCTTCCATCTCTGCCTCCTTGGGGTGAAGCGGCTCCTTCATCTGTAGACCCTGTAGACCCTTCTCAGCCTCCTCCATCCTGGTGCCGTGAGATGGTTGCTTCCAAATCGAGTGATCGAGTCATTTATACAGTACCATAAGGTTGCCCGCCTTTGGAAGCGTCCAAAGTTTGGTTTAAAGGTTAAAGACCAGTTTACCCTTAATGTGTGGCATGTCCCTTTCGAATCGTGCGCGAAGGAATATTTATCGAAGATCGATCACTCGATATTTATCGAAGACCGCTCTATATTTATTGAAAATTTTTTTACTTTCAGTAAAAAAAAAATTATTATTAAATTATTTAACTAGTTAACTTTCATCAAATTTTTTTAATCTATCAATTAATATATTTTTAATTATTAAATTATATAAAAAATAAATAATTAATATTTTATGTAATACAAATATTACGTATATCAATTTAATTGATAAGTTAATAAAATTAAAATCAAATTTTATTTTTTCTATTATTTAATAGTCAACAAATATATTAATTTTATTTTTAGTATGTACCCTAAGAACCATAATTTTAAAAATCCCACTATTTTGCGGTTGTTTAATCTCAATTTGAAATTTTAGAAAATTGAGCACACACCTTATAATTTTTTATGAGTGTAGATTTTTTAATATTTAAGTGGTTTTTTTTATCAATAATTATAAAAAAATACAGTTTGCATAAGATAAATTGTAAAATAGCTTTTTCTTGAAATTTTATTCGTATTTTTCAAAGTTAATTCTTCAATTTTTATGAGCATTTTTTTAAATAGTAAAAAGAGATGGGGGTTTTGCACTTCAAACCATATTAAGTTGTAAAATATTAATTATTAAATAAAAAAATTTTAATGTAATATTTAGTAATTTATAATTTAAATCATAAAATAACTTTTTATATGAAAATGTATATATTAAAAAAATTATATTTTATCTTAGATTGTAAAAAAATTATTATTGATTTGGAATGTCTCATACAGAGCACACACACAGCATCTTGCTTTAATGGTTTTTTTTTTGGTATTAATATCTTAAAATCCGATAATCAAATTGAATGGTATTAACTTTTTGGTATCCAGTAACCATATTAAATTTCAATTAATCGGAAATCGAGCCGCGTTGAACCTTCTTAGGGGAAAACTCTCCTAACATCTATTTTTCCATTCATAAGACTCAAACCGAAGAATTTTACTTAAGGAAAATCAAACTTCTTTCATTCCAACTTATCATTGGTACTTTAATGGTTATGATTGTGTAATTCGTAATTAAATTAGACTGTACAACATTTTTTTTAAATATTTAAAAATAAATATTAAAAAAGTATCATTTATTTAAAGTAATTTAAATGTTAAAAGGTAACTTCCTTTTCTTTTCTTTTTTTTTTTTTGTGTAAATACAATTGTTTTTCTTTTATGAATCTGTGAGTAAAATTTTCAAACTTAAACAAATAAAAAACAAAAGTAGTTGTGATCGGCACTCCTTATGATTGGTGCATTCACCTTTGCAGCTGCGTGGTAGCAATAAAGTAGTAGCAGGGGTGTCCCGTTGCGAAGGTCGATAAGGAGAGAGGCAAATGGAGATGGAGTTGGGGGCACATAGTTTTTCTTTGCAGATTTTATAATTTTAGAGGCAAATATAATTGTAGTTGTATTTTGTGGTTATGGTTATGCTTATCATTTTTTTTTAAGTCATCAAAATTTTATTTAAAAAAATATTAATTTTGTTTAATTTAATTGTAAAAATAGTTAATAATTAATAGAATAATTAATATTTTTTATTTAATAAATTAAAATAAATTTATAAATTGATATTTTTCAATATTATAATTTTTTAATTAAAAAAATTGCAAATATCAATAATATTTTAGTAACCTAACAACGCAATTGATGGTCATAACCTCCCATGTTTTGTAGTATTTGGATTGGAATACCTTTGTACTTATTATAATAGTATTTATTTTAGTTAATAAAAAAACAACCAACCTAACTAATGTTAGTTAATTAAAATTTTAGGGTTTGATTAGTGCAATTGTGTTCTTTAATTTTTTTTTATTTTAGTATGCATAAATTTTACAATTTAAATAAAAAATTTCGTTTACTTTTATATGTTTTTATAATATATTATTATGTTTATTAAAAAATAAAAATAAAAATAGTTATAATACTATTAAATAATTTTAAATTTTTTATTGTCAATTTTAAAATTTGTCTTAAACAAATTGTTAAATCTTGAATTTAGTAATCGTAAAATTTATAAAAATCAAAAACCATAATTATACTAAAAAAGCCTTAATATGGTGTTAATTAGTTTTTTTTATTGTGATTAAATAAGGTTTTAAGATCAATACAAACAATGAATTTTGTCTACGTCAAGAAATTTTATCATATGAATATCTTATGTTATTAATTTAGAGAAAAATTAAAGATTTGACATTAATTTACATGTTATGTAAGTTAAAATTTAGGAAAAGAATAAAAGATAGTTAAAACTTAAAATGTTAAAAATAAAAATAAAAATATATTTAGTTTAAAGAACAAATAAAAAATTTGTACCAAAATGGAAGATTAGCCTTGAAGAAACGAATTTAGTAGATGAGAGGAATCTTGCCATCTTGGCCGACTGCCCACGTGTTCCGAAAGCGCTCACCCTCAAGTCCAAAAAGGTTGAAGGTTTGACAGTCGAATGTGAAGGGAACCCAACAATTATTTCCCTTATAATAGCTAACAATCCAGGTCGAGTAAGGATGTGATTTAAAGAAAAATTTTCCCACAATTATGATCTTCGTGTGTGTATATATATATATATATATATAAATGTTCATCCACCTGACCTTTTAATTTTTTAAAAAAATTATTATAAAATTATACCATTTCAATATATTTTTATTATAAAAAATTTAAATATCATATCTTTAAAATATAAATTAGATTATTTTTTTATTTTTTTATTGTGATATTTTATTA